TACAAAGGCAGGCCTAAGTTCCTTAATAAACGAAATAAATGAGTTTGCAGCATGCTCTGCTACTCACTGACTCCCTGAGTCATTAGTACTGTGTCTTCACTGACCTTGAAAGGATAATACTGAGAAAACAAAAGACCCAGGATAGCCCATAAAACGCTGTAAAATAAAGGAACTTCAGGAGGCATCATCATCCCTGACTTCAAGCTCTACTATAGAGCTTTAGTCTAGAAAACAGCTTGATATTGGCACAAAAATAGGTAGACCAATGGAATCGAATAAAAAATTGTGATATTAATCCACATACTTACGAACACCTGATTTTTGACAAAAGAGCTAAACGTATACAGTGGAAGGAGGAAAGCATCTTCAACAAGTGGTGCAAACACAACTGGATGATGGTATGTTGAAGACTGCAGATAGACCCATGTCTATTGCCAAGCACAAAACTCAAGTCCAAATGTATCAAAGACCTCAACATAAATTCAGCCACACTGAACTTCTTAGAAGAGAAAGTGGGAGGTACCCTGGAAAAATTCGTACAGGAGACCGCTTCCTAAACATAATACCAGTAGCACAGACACTGAGATCAACAATTAATAAATGAGACCTCCTCAAACTGAGAAGCAAAGGACACAATTGCCAAGACCAAATGGCAGCCCCCAGACTAGGAAAAGATCTTCACCAACCCTACATCTGAAAGAGGGCTGATCTCCAAAATATACAAAGAATCCAAGAAACTAGTCAACAAAACACCAAATAACCCTATTTAAAAATGGGGTACAGAACTGAAGAAAGAATTCTCAATAGAGGAAATCAAAAAGGCTGAAAGACACTTAAGAAAGTGCTCAACATCCTTAGCTATCAGAGAAATGCAAATCAAAACAACTCTGAGATACCATCTTACTCCGGCCAGAATGGCTAAAATTAGAAACACCAGTGGCAACTTATGCTGGAGAGGATGTGGAGAAAGGGGGAACATTCCTCCACTGCTGGTGGGAGTGCAAAACAGCCAATTTGGAGATCAGTATGGCAGTTCCTCAGGAAAATGGGAATCAGTCTAACAGAGGACCCAGCAATCCCACTCTAATGCCTATACCTAAATGATCCACACCCATGCAACAAAGACATGTGTTAAACTATGTTCATAGCAGTATTATTTGTAATAGCAAGAACCTGGAAGCAACTTGGCTGCCCCTCAACTGAAGAATGGATAATGAAGATGTGGCACATTTACACAGTGGATTATTACTCTGCAGGGAAAAACAAACAAAACAAAACAAAAACAAAGGAATCTTGAAATTCCCAGGCAAATAGATGGAACTTGAAGAACCCATTCTGAATGAGGTAACCCAGTCACAAAAAGAGGAACCTGCTATGCACTCACTCATATATGGATTTTAGACATAGAGCAAAGGATCACTAGCCTATAATACATACCACCAGAGGAACTAGTATACAAGGAGGAACCTAAGAGATTCACACAAGGTCCCTCCCAGAAGGGGAAAGGAACAAGATCTCCTGAGCACACTGGAGTGGGTGGGGGGCATTAAGCAGAGAGGGAGTTAGGAGAAAGAGAAGGAGAGGAGAGGTGAACATGTGGGACTAGGAAGGTTGAGTCAGGGAAGAATCGACAAGGGAAAAAAAAAAAGAAGAAGAAGAGGGAGAGAGATACCATGAAAGAGGGGGCCATTATAGGTTTGAAGAGAAAACTGAATCTAGAGAGATGTCTATAGACCTACAAGGATGACCCCAACTACCCATCTGAGCAACAGTGGAAAGGCTACCTTAAATGCCCTTCCCTGACAATGAGATTGATGACTAACTTATCTACCATTATAGAGCCCTCATCTAGTAGCTGATGGAAACAGAAGCAGACACCCCCAGCTAAACACTGAGCTGAACTCCTGGAATCCAGATGCAGAGACGGAGGAGTGATAAGAAAATGGGGACAACATGGATGCTAGCCCGGGCTATTATACCCAGGAAACTCTCGGTCACTATAGACAGAAAAAACAAGATATTTAATGACAAAGCCAGATTTTCACAATACGTATATACAAATCCAGCCCTACAGAAAGTTCTTCAAGGAAAACTCCAACCCAAGGAAGGTAACTACACTCACAAAAACAGGCAATAGATAATCCCATTTCACTAGAAACCAAGGGTAAAGCAGGCAAGTATATTCACAATACCACTGCCAACAACAAATCTAAAACAAACAAGCATTAACAATCAATGGACCTTACTTTCCCTCAACATTAATGGTCTTAACTCACCTATAAAAAGACACAGGCTAACAGAATGGATACAAAGAGAGAATCCATCCTTCTGCTGCATACAAGAAACACATCTAAGCTTCAAAGACAGACATTACTTCAGGGTAAAGGGCTGGGAAAAGATCTTCCAATCAAATGGACCCAAGAAGCAAGCAGTTGTGGCTATCCTAATATCTAACAAGTTAGACTTCAAACCAAAATCAATCAAAAGAGATGAAGACGGTCATTTCGTATTCATCACAGGAGAATTCCGAACATCTATGCCCCAAATACAAAGGCACCCACATTCATAAAAGAAACACTGCTAAAACTCAGAGCTCACATAAAACCTCACACACTTATAGTTGGAGACTTCAACTCTCCACTCACCGCCAGACAGGACCAGCAGTCAGAAACCTAACAAAGAAACAAAAGAACTAACAGAAGTTATGTCTCAATTGGGTTTAACAAACATCTATAGAACATTCCATCCAAACACAAAAGAATATATATTTTTTTTCTCTGCTCCACATGGAACCTTCTCTAAAATTGACCACACACTAGGTGGCATAACAAACCTCAACAGATACAACAGAATTGGAATAGTCCCCTGTATCTTATCAGACCACCATGCTTTAAAGTTGGAATTCAACAACACAAATCACAGAAACCCTACAAACTCATGGAAAGTGAACAATGCACAATTGCACCATACCTGAGACAAAGAAGAAATAAAGAAAGAAATTAAGGACTTCCCAATATTCAACGAGAATGAGGACACATACCCAAACTTATGGGACACCTTGAAAGCAGTGCTACGAGGGAAGTTCATTGCACTAAGTACCTATATGAAGAAAACGGAGGTTAATCACATTAGAGAATTAACAGCACATCTGAAAGCCTTAGGACAAAAAGAAGCAAACTCACCCTGAGGAGTAGATGCCAGAAAATAATCCATTTGAGGGCTTAAATCAATAAAGTAGAAACCAGGAAAACAATACAAAAAAATCAATGCAACAAAGAGTTGTTTTTTTGAGAAAATCAACAAGATAGACAAACCTTTATCCAAACCAATGAAAAACCAGAGAGAGAACATGCAAATAAGCAAAATCAGAATTGAAAGGGGGGGAATAAAACAATGGACACAGAGGAAATCAGAGATTTTCAGGTCACACTTTGAAAACCTGTACTACACAAAATTCGGAAATTCAAAGGAATGGACAAATTTCTGGTTAGCTAACAGTTACCAAAATTAAATCAAGAACAGATAAGCAACGTGAATAGATCTATAACCCCTAACGAAATATAAGCAGGCATCAAAAGCCTATGGTGGAACATAAGTTAGTTATCAATCTCATTATCAGGTAGCCTCTGCACTGTTGCTCAGATTGTAGGTTGGGGTTGTCCTTGAAGGTCTCCGGACATTTCTCTAGAGTCAGTTTTCCCTTCAAACCTATAATGGCTCCCTCTAGTATGGTATCTTTTTTTTTTCTTGACTATTTGTCTCCAGACTGAATCTTCCTAGTCTCACATGTTCTCCTCTCCTCCCCTTCTCTTTCTCCCCTCTCTGCTTACTGCCTCACCCACCCCCTCACTCCAGTGTGCTCAGGAGATCTTGCTCCTTTCCATTTCTGTGAGGGATGTTGTATGAATCTCTTAGGCTCCTCCTTGTATACTAGTTTCTCTACTGGTGTGAATTACAGGCTGGTGATCCTTTGCTCTATATCTAAAATCCATATCTGAGTGAGTACATAGCATATTCCTCTTTTTGTGACTGGATTACCTCACTCAGGATGGTTTCTTCAAGTTCCATCCATTTGCTTGTGAATTTCAAGATCCCCTCTTGCTCCTACGATCCTTAGTCTCTCTCTGCTGCAGGATTCCCAGGGAAGACTCTTAAGGGGACAAAGGGAGCCTTGGATCAAACTGGTAAATTCTGCACAGTTAGAAGCTGAGACTACAGAGAGGTATTAACTCATAGACACTTCAGAAGAAATTGTAGGAAATGTGTCCTCAAATTCTCCTACCAGGCTGGTGAAATGACTCAGCAGATAAAAGTGTCTGTCTCCAACCTGGTGACCAGAGTTCAATCCCAGAATCCACATCGTGGAAAGAGAAAACTGTTTCCAAATGTTCCACCAAACTCCTGGAGTAGCCTTCTTCCAAGCAAAGCTTACTGATACAGGAGGAGGCCACACATACTGAGAGGGCAGCCCAGTAGTAGGAGATCTGAGTTATGCTAGACCTGAAGGTCAGCAGATAGAGGAGCAGATGGATCCTTTCCCTCAATGGACTTGTAGCTATAGCTGCTCCTGGACTTTGGAATAGTAATAATAATGTAATACATTCATGCTGCCAGATATCTATCTCTGAGTGTGTCACCTCCTAGAACAGAACAGTGACATGGCAGCCTTCAAAATTTACAGAGTTAATAGGCATATAGGAGTTCCTGGTCCCCAACAAAATTCAGTTGACTTTAGTGGTCTCTGGGCTCCCTTCACCATGGACCTAACATGGGTCAATGACAGATTGGATCTTGAGCAAAGGTCATGTGTGTTCAGGGCCTATCAGCAACTCTCAGGCTCAACCTGAAGTTGAGCCAAAATGGCTTCATGCCCAGGGTGTGTGCAGCAGTTACACTCTGCTAGTGTGAACCCCTTGACTTCCTCCTGGGCTCTGCAATCTGATAGTGTAAACTTTGTTGACCTCTTCCTGAGTCTCCCCAGTCATGCCCACTGAACTCACCTCCTCTGTGACCCTGCTGTGGGTCACCAGGCTCTGGGAGGTCGCCAGGGTTCTCCATGCAGGAAGATTTGCCTGACTCACTCATGGCTACTGTTTATAGCATTCTTTGTCTGGACTTCTGGGCTCAGAGTTGGTGACAACTGTAAAAGGCATGGAATGTACCTGTCCTCTTCTGTCTTACCCTGATCTGTGTCATCCACAGAAGATCCAAGTGAATGGGACTTACAGATTATGTGTTGTATTATTTAGAAGGGATGTATTAGCTGCGTGTTTTATGACACACCTGTAAACCTGAAAAGCTGAGATAGCAGGCCAGTATGTATTACATGCAACATACTGCCTTAAAACAAAAACAAAGGGCAGAAAGGGAAGAAATATGTTCACCTAATTTGATTTTCACCAATGACTCCTGTTCTAGAGTGTGGCTTTTTAGCTTCCAGCCAGAAGGACATTTTGCTCACTTACACAAGGTTTCATGGAGAGTTTTTTTTTTAAGATAAAGCATTGTGGGGGTAGTCAGGATCTAAATAAGACCACTTCCATAGGTTTTGTCTGTTGTAATAACTGTCAGTCATTACAGGCAGTTGCTCTTAGTGAGCTACATGGACAAACATGCTGTGTGCTAGGCCATTGTGTGTATGCAGCAAGTCACAGGGACAGGGTGAGCACATAGACTCAGAAAGATGTTGGAAAGTCACTGTTTGGTGGCTCTGAGTGGCTGCTGCCCTGGCCTCATCCACAAAGATGGCACCAAAGATGTTGATGGATGTGGGTTGGATGGAAGACGGCTTCAACAGTAGATTCACTGGTCCCATTTGGGGCTTTTAACTTTTCTTGTCTACCAAACTCTGCAATGTCAGAATGTGGTGCTGTGGGTGGGGAGATGCTAGGTAGGGGGAGCTGGTAGAGATGACACACAGAGCAGAAGGAGGGTCTCACAGGACACTTTTCTTCACTCTCAGGCAGAGAGAAATCAGGACAGCTTAAGACTGCACAGCATCCAAAGCAGGCATTTTCTGAGGTAAAGAAGAGATAACAAATCTCTGGTGTCCAAACACTTACCTCCACCCACAGTTACAGCATGTAGGTTTCTTAGGTCCTTGGGTGACTTTGTGTTATCTCCTCATTTCCTGGTCCCCACCATAGCACTTTGTGTGCAGGTCACAGCTCTGCTTTCCTCAGCAGCCCTCATGTCAGTGCTGGCACAGATGATGCTGTGTCATTTTCTCCTCTCTCTCTCTGTCTCTGTCTCTCTCTGTTTATCTCTCTATCCATCTCCTCTCTCTCTCTCTCTCTCTCTCTCTCTCTCTCTCTTTCTCTGTGTGTGTGTGTGTGTGTGTGTTTGAGTCTGTTGAAGTTTCTCACCACCCCCTGAACCTGTAGACACTTGAGTTTCATATTTCATGCTCAGGGCATCTGTGAATATGTTGGACTGTGGGATGTGTCCTGCAAGTGGGATGGGAGCATCATAATGTCCAGAAATGTCTAGGAGAAAAGCATCCTATCTTTGCCTCCCTGAGTACCTTTCCATTTAAAGGAGGCTAGTTCTATCTTGCACTGATCCCCAAGAACTCTTGGGTTCATTGTGACACAATCATTCTCCTTCATCTTCCACATTATTTATTCATATTCTGACTTATTGTTGTTCCTAAATTTTTCTAGGCCATCTATTAAAAATTCTCTCATCTCAGGTAGATCTCTGTGAGTTTGAAGCCAGCCTGATCTACAGAGTGAGTTTTAGGACAGGCTCCAAAGCGACATAGAGAAGCCCTGTCTCAACCCCCCCCCCAATTCTCTCATCTTTAATCCATTATACAAAGGTGACAAATGGTATTCAATCTGCCTCTGTGTTCCCATAAAGTATTCTATCTCTGTTGTTAAAAAGCTCTATTCCTCCCTCTCCAAATCTTGATACCCCCAAACTACTGAATACAAAACAAAACAAAACAAAACAAAAGAAAAAAACCAAACCTTTGCCAACCTAGGACACTAGCTTTTACAGTTTCACTCATTATCTTGAAGGTCAACCATAGGACATCACCAAAATGATGATTCTTTTAATGCCAATCTTCAACACAGGAAGCAGAGAGCGTTGAGATGAATTTCTGCTGGGCTCAGGAGCTGGGCAGAGAGAAAAAACCTTCCTTTGAGTGCAGGAGGGGTAAGACCTTGGATTTCCACCAGGGCAGTGGTTCTCAATCTGTTGGTCATGCTTGGGGATCAAATGACCCTTTCACAGGGGTCATACATCAGAAACCCTGCATATTAGATATTTACACCATAATTCATAACAGTAACAAAATTACTGTTATGAAGTAGCCACAAAATAATTTTATGTTTTAGGGTCAGCACAACATGATGAACTGCTGCACGAGGGTCTGAAGGCAGTATTGAAGTGCTGCACACAGACACAGAGGCAGACGTGGCAGAATTTGTGTCTTTCAGTGAAATTGCCATGACCTAACATGCCGTAAAACTGCAGATACTAAGATCAACAGCAACATATGTGACAAGTGACACTGAGAGTAGACTCACTACTCTATGAGTCTTGACAGCACATGGGAGTCTTTTTCTTTCTGGTTCTTCAAGACAGGATCTCTGTGTATCTTTGAGGCCTGTTGTGGAACTCCCTCTGTAAACCAGGTTGGTCTTGAACTCACAGAGATCTGCCTGCCTCTGCCTCTCAAGTGCTGGGATTAAAGGCTAAACTGCCATCACCTGGCCAGAGGAGTGTTGAGGATTACTTAGTTCATACATAGAGCTCCTGCCCATTCATTTCTTAAATGTGTATCTACTCACAGAAGCCCCTTGTCCCTTCCTGTTACAGCTTTCTGCACCCCAGTCTTCACTTCCACACCCACATTGTGTTGGTGAATAAAGGACCAGGGATCATGGTGACTCCATGTTCAACACCAGGGATCCTGCTATTCCAGAAGGACTTCTTGTGCTATGTAGTGTCTATCCACAGGGCCAGAGAAGGAGCAGAAACTGCAGAGTGGTTTTGCCCGTCTGTTGGCTATTGGTTCCCTATGGCTTCTGACTTATCAGTTCTCCTGCATTAAGAATTTTGTCCAGCTCAAATTTCCACACCTATACCCCGAAAGGTACAAATTGCTGCCTGGGCAAGACCTACCTGTTCTGTTATTGTAAAACTTTCATATTGTATCAGCGCAGACTTAGGCTTGGGATTCAACCATGTTACTGGATGGACTTTGTGACTGGCTGTGTGCTGTGTCCTGTGGGCTCCTGCTTCTCCTCCTCCATGTGCATGGTGAGACTAAGTGAGCAGAAGAGACCAGGGTCAGAGCTGCCCTGTTATCTTGTCAGAGGCTGAGCTAGTGGGAGGGAAGGCACAAGGGATGGAGATACAGATGGATATGACAGATAAAAGCGTGGATGTGTGCACCCCCTAACACCCTCACCTAAGCCCACAGGATAGCCCTGTAGCACATGGAGAGTCAGATATGTGTGAGATTAGTATTACCAATGAGTCAGCACTAACAGAAGAGCAGCAGGGACATGTCCCTCCTCTGTGTGTGGTTGTGCCTGGAGCTCCTACTGACCGTGGACAATGGCAATAATTCCTTCATAATGCCAAGCAGCTCACAGGCTGTCACCTTGATGACTGGAGAAGTGTCCTATAAATTTATAGAGGACCAACAGTCAAGGTTTCCACTATTAGGTAATCCAGAAGGCCTCATCATCACACACCATAGCTGAACTGAGAGAACCCAGGTTACCTTCCCCATGTACCATGGTAATGATGAGGTAGGAATTCCTAAGTGTGGTGACAACTGATGGCATCTCTCCACCTACAGGACAGGACTCAGCCAACCCCATCAGGAACACACACACAGGCCAAGTGAGGGGAAGCCTTGTCCATGTGAAAGACAGTGATGTTGGTGTCCGCACCTTCCTGGGAATTCCCTTTGCCAAGCCACCTGTAGGATCACTGTGCTTTGCACCTCCTGAGCCCCCTGAGCCATGGAGTGGTGTGAGAGATGGGCTCTCTTATCCAGCCATGTAAGGTTTGGTACCTAGAGGACCTCAGGCCTGAGCTCTGGACCATACTGCAGGACTTTCTCCATCTCAGCTCTATAGCGGCTTCCTGTCTGTGCTAGGGGCAGTCTCTAGTGCATGTTTTTTTCTGATGGGTGTGCTATTTCCTTTAAATAACTGTGCCAGGTCCTGACTGAGAGCTGTACTGCAGTGAAGAGCAGAGACTAAGGCCATTCTTCAGTCACTGTGACCATCCATTGTCCAGGTGCCATTGACTAAGAAACAAGTACACATGCTTTCCACTGGGGACTATGTGGAAGAAGGAGGTACCTTGAGAGTCTGGGGTGATATGAAGAATATGTCACTGCACTATTCATTCTTGTAGTTCCCATGTGAGCACACAATCCCAATACTCATTTGTCTTCATTTGTTTTCTGTTCCTATGCTAGAGTACCCTGACAAAAGCAATGTAGTGAAGAAATAGTTGTACCATAGCTCATAATTCCTGGTTATAATCAACCGTAGGTGGGAACCACAGGGGCAGAAGTCTAAGGAGCTGATCACATCACATGCATAACCAGGAACAGAACCTATGGGTCATATGTGTGCCAGCTAATGCTCACATAGTCTCTCCATTCTCACATAATTCAGGCTCTCCCTAGGGGGATGGTGCATCCTACTTTAAGCAGGTATTCCTAAGCAATGAATATAATCAAGATAATTTTCCACAGGCAAGCCCAGAGGCCAACAAGATCTAAACCAGTGGTTCTTAACATGTGGATTCCTATATCCTGCATATCATATATCTACATTACTATTCATAACAGTAGCAAAAGTACACTTATGAAATAGCAACAAGATAATTTTATGGTGGGGCTCACAACATGACAAACTGTATTAAAGTGTCACAGCATTAGTAAGGTTGAGAATCATTGATCTAGAAAACACTTCATTAAGACTTTTTACCAGGTGATTCCACATTGTGTCAGTCAAAAATCAGAACTAACCACCACACCAGGAGTTAAATGGTACAGAAGTGATGAATGTCAGTACAGGAAGACAATCATTTTCATAGAAGATGCCAGT